TCTTTTTTAATTACATAAAAGCAGGTTAGCAAAGTATTTGCCAGTGTTTGCTAAATGGCCTATATTGGTGAATATCAGTATGACTTTTAATTAGTTTTTGCCATCATTATTTTCAAATATAACCTTGGTTATTCATTTGGCTCATACACATAAAACCAACAAATCCACAGGTATTGAAAAGTAAAAAGACACTGAGTTCAGGAGGAAGGAATTATAGTCTTCAAATTAATTTATAAAAGTCTTGAATGGGACAGAAGCAGTTCCTTGGAGTGATATATATATGTTATATGTATATACAAATATATACATATATATATATTATATATATATATATATTGATAGTGATGTAGCATAATGACTTAAAATAATGCCATTTTTAGTGGTTACTCAGTTCTGTATTTTTATTTTTGTAATTTTTAGGCTGATAATACTGGATTTGGTGTTTGTCAGTTCAGGATAGTGGTTCTCAGACTTTTTCACACACACGTACACACACACCAATACACACCACACATAACAGACTATTTATCTATCTTTTATAAAGATAGGGGAAGCAACAAAAAAGAAATTTGATGAAATAAAGGGCATCAATATCACAAATAGCATCAGCAAACTCTTGTTTATTTTCCCTACATAGATAATATTCATTCAATTTAGTTTCACTCCATATTTTCCCTTGGTCATCCACCCCACCTGCAGTGGCTGTACCCCCCCCCCAAAAAAAGAAAAAAGTCAAGCGACAAAAATACAGTACAGTACTTGAGAAAATGTACTTAGTTACTTTTAATTCTTCCTGTAACAGAGGAAGTTCAGTTTCTTCCTTGCAGTCCCTTCTCTCCCCGAACGCACGGCTGTTTCTGGTGCTGTTCTTCGCCAGGGTGCCACAGAGCTTGTCGTCGGGCAGCCTTTTAATACCCTGGTACGTCACTTTTTCTCCACCCACCCACATCCACCCACCGGCCAGGAAACGCAGGCCCGTCCACACCTACCAACATTTAGCAGAGGGATGTAAACACAGAGGACGAGCTTGCTCAGTAACACAATACACTGTGGTAAAACTGTCGTACCTCTCCAGTGACAGCTTCTCGCTGTCTGTCTCCGTGCGAAAGTCGTGGTCATCTTGAGTGATCAGGGTGGCGAGGTCATAAGCGGTGGTTTTGGTAGTCCGAGACAGGATTACTTGTGTCCAACGCCCCATATTCCTTGCAGTACTTTAGTGCTGTCTCCCACGTCCTCTTTTCCTTCACCAGAACCAGCTTCTTGTCAAAAACACAAGAAACCACGTTTGTTCCTCACAGGGACCACTTCGCCATTCTTTTGTTGTGCTGTACTTTAAAACCACAATGATCACCTGAGTCTGGCTCTGCAAGAAGTAGGAGAAGTGAGGTAGAGAACATGGTGTGCTGCAGATGAAAGCGCCAAACAACTTTTCATTCAGGCCCTGATGGACGATGAATGATACACATCTCTGAAATATTTGGTTTAGCTTCTGTCTGTTAGTGAACAGGTATCAAACTGAAACCAAGCTAAGTTGAATGGTTGTTCCCTGGACACACACACACACCACACACACACCACACACACACACACACACACACACACACACACACACACCACACACACACACACACACACACACACACACAACACCCACAAAACTAGTTAAGCTCTCTTGGGTTTTGGTAAAGCCCTTGTGTCTACAGCATCTGATGCCAGTGTGCCAGATATGAGACGCAGGTTTTCCCTGCTCCCACTATTGTCATGTGCCAAGCCCTTTTATGCTGTACTGGCTTTTTGTAAAATACCACTTGTCAAATGTACTTTAAATCCTGGTGTACATTAAAGGTCGACTTATTATGCATTTCATTTGTGACTGACTGTGTCTCAACATAAGTATATACAGAAAAAAAATATTTATTTTGTGTAATATCTAATTAAATTTTTGAAATTAAAGCACAGAACAAAGAAATAAATGAAGATAGAAAAAAGTCTAAATTTTCACTTCATTCTGGCAGCGAACACACTTGTGGCGTTCTGTCTAAATGGAAATCAAATATTTGCTCATTCCAACACTGTTGCAATTTCCTATGAATGTGTTTGCACTTGCAGGTTTCTTGCTTTCACCTTCTGTCCAGTTCATCCCAAAACCAAGCTCCATGGGGTTTATGTCTGGAGGACTGTGCTGGTTCTCATCATGTGAAGCCTCTGTCTGGTTCTTCTACTGTTTGGGTCCAATATCTTGCTGTAGCATGAACCCCTGACCAACCAGTCTGTCTTCCTTTATTACATGTCTTTTTCTCACCAACTGAACAGCAACATACAGATCCTACTTCCTGCAGTACAATATTGCTTGCTACCACTGAGAATATTATTGTTGTCTGCAATATGAAAGCAATCTTAAAACATCTTAACTGCTCTCCCAAAGAAAAAAAAAACTGGCCTCTGTTCAGCAAAGAGGCAAATCTTAATCCAAGGAGCAATGTGTTTGGAAAAACCAAAACTATAAAAAACATTAATTGGACATATTGTTACAGAAAGAACAAAAATGAACTAAGGTATGTTGACAGTGA